GGGTGGTGGTGAGGTCCTGGTGGGTGAAGGTCAAGGGTTGGTGAGTCCTGGGAGTGTTCCCTGTGGATCCACAGGACACAGGGAAGGGGAGGGACACCGGGATGATTTGGAACAATGTTTGTCCGGAAAAGATGGGATTGAGGGAGAACACCCTGGAAAAAACAGGTTCAGCATCCCCTGGAGAAGGGGAGCTCTGGTGGGGTGGTGGTGAGGTCCTGGTTGGTGAAGATCAAGGGTTGGTGAGTCTTGGAGTGTTCCCTTTGGATCCACAGGGACACCGAGATGATTTGGAACAATGTTTGTCCAAAAAAAATGGGATTTAGGGAGGACATCCTGGAAAAAATGGGTTTGGAGTCCCCTGGAGAAGGGGAACGGCCCTGGGGTGGTGGTGAGGTCCTGGTGGGTGAAGATCAAGGGTTGGTGAGTCTTGGAGTGTTCCCTATGGATCCAAGGGGAAGGGGAGGGACACCGGGATGATTTGGAACAATGTTTGTCCGGAAAAAATGGGATTGAGGGAGAACACCCTGGAAAAACTCAGTTTGGAGTATCCTGGAGACAGGGAGCAGCCGTGGGTGGTGGTGAGGTCCTGGTGGGTGAAGATCGAGGGTTGGTGAGTCCTGGAGTGGGACTCAGGGAAGGGGATGATTTGGAACAATGTTCGTCCGGAAAAAATGGGATTGGGGAGGAAACATCCCAGAAAAACTTGGCGCGGAGGCTCCCGGAGAAGGGGAACGGCCCTGGGGTGGTGGTGAGGTCCTGGTGGGTGAAGATCAAGGGTTGGTGAGTCCTGGAGTGTTCCCTTGGGATCCACAGGGAAGGGGAGGGACACCAGGATGATTTGGAATGGTGCTCATCCAAAAAAAGTGGGATTGAGGGAGAACACCCCGGAAAAACTCAGTTTGGAGTCCCCTGGAGAAGGGGAGTGGCCATGGGGTGCTGGTGAGGTCCTGGTGGGCGAAGGTCAAGGGTTGGTGAGTCCTGGAGTGGGACTCAGGAAGGGGAGGGACACCAGGATGATTTGGAAAAATGTTTGTCCGGAAAAAATGGGATTGAGGGAAGAACAACCTGGAAAAACTCAGCTTGGAGTCCCCTGGAGAAGAGGAACAGCCCTGGGGTTGTGGTGAGGTCCTGGTGGGTGAAGCTCAAGGGGTGGTGAGTCTTGGAGTGTTCCCTTTGGATCCAAGGGACACAGGGAAGGGGAGGGACACAGGGATGATTTGGAACAATGTTCATCCGGAAAAAATGGGATTGAGGGAAGAACATCCTGGAAAACCTCAGTTTGGAGTCCCCTGGAGAAGGGGAGCTCTGGTGGGGTGGTGGTGAGGTCCTGGTGGGCAAAGCTCAAGTGTTGGTGAGCCTTGGAGTGTTCCCTATGGATCCAAGGGACACAGGGAAGGGGAGGGACAGCGGGAGAGCTGGGGATGATCCGGATCAACATTCCAGAGGGACAGGTGTCACCCCGGAGCCACCCCATCCTCGTTTCCTCGCTCTGGTGACGGCCCAGCCTAGGAAAGAAGCCCCCCCTGCCAGCTGGGACCCGCATTCCGGCCTTTCCCCGGCTCGGCATCGCCAATCCTCGACCCGGAACACTTGTGGTGGCAGCGCCGTGGCCGTCACCCAACCGGGGTGGCCTCAGCCACGAGGGGTGGTTGTCACCCCAAGGGTTGGTTGTCACCCACCCCATGGGTTCTTCATCACCCAACACTGGTGGCACCGTGGTGTCCTCAACCCCTGGTGGGGCTGTGGTGGCCTCAACCCCAAAGGTTGGTCGTCACCCAACACTGGTGGGACTGTGGTGGCTTCAACCTCGAGAGGTGTCACTCAACACTGGTGGGACCATGGTGGCTCCAACCACTGGTGGGACCTGTGGTGGCCTCAACCCCGAGGGGTGTTACCCAACACTGGTGGGACTGTGGTGGCCTCAACCCCAAGAGATGTGACCCAACTCTGGAGGGACCGTGGTGGCTTCAACCCCAAGGGGTGTAGCCCAAAACTGGTAGGACTGTGGTGGGT